AAGGGAAAGTTGGTTGAAATCTTGAATACAAAGGGATAGGCGGAGCCTTCTTGAACAAAACCTAAACTGTATGGGAAACTAAAGAATGAACAACTGGGATCTCATGTTATTTAAAATCTTTTGCACCTCAAAAGAAACCGCCAACAAAATGAAAAGGCAACCCACAGAATGGTAAAAATTTTAGCCCATTTTCCCTCAAAGTATATCTAGAACATATAAAGAATTTTTTTTAAAAGTTGGATCCCCTCCCCCAATTCAAAGACCAAATCCTAAAAAGGGAATCAGAGATGAATACACATTTCTCAGATGAAGCAATACAAATGGCAAATAAATATATATAAAAAAGTTTAACATGATTTCATTTGAGAGATGCAAATTAAAAGAACACTATGATTTCATCTCACCCCAGAAAGAATGGCTATCATAAAAAATTCAACTGATAACAAATGCCAGTGGATCTGTGGGGAGAAGGAATCCTTCTCCACTGTTGGTGGGAGTGCAGACTGGTGCAACCACTGCACAAATCAGTGTGGAGATTCCTCAGTTGTCTAGGATTAGAGGTTCCTTTTGACCCAGCTATTCCCCTCCTGGGTAGCCTCCCAGAAGAATTAAGAAACATCATACCACAGCGATATGTGTGCATCAATGTTTATAACTGCACAATTTTCAATAGCCAAATACTGGAAACAGTGGAAATGTCCATCAACTGAGGAACAGATTAAAAATGTGTGGTGTTTTTATACAATGGAGTACTTCTCAGCCATAAAGGATATATTTAAGCCTTTAATAGGTAAATGGATGAAAATTGAGACTATACTCCTTAGAGAAATGAAGCTGACTCACATGTATAAACATTGTACTGTCTTCCTGGGTCAAGAAACTGAAAAACTATGCACAATGTAAAACGTACAGTACATATTGTGAAATGGGAAGAAAGTGTTAAGAAGGAAAAAGGAACTAGGATTGGATAAGGGGAAAGGAAAGATGGGAAAAGAGAAAAAAATGCAAGTTAGTTATGCTGCTAGTGTTTCTTAGTTCACAGAACAGGAAGATTTTGTGCTCACATTGATTGGAGAATTCTTTATGTCTATATGTTTTCTTTTCTTTCTTTCTTTTTTTCTTTTGTTTTGTTTTGTGCCAGAAATCAAACTCAGGGCCTTGAGCGTGGGAAGCAAGCATTGTGCCAATGAGCTATATCCATGGCCCTATGGCCTTATCTTGTTCTCTTAACAATTTTAAAGATAATAATATGCAATATATTAGCTATTGTTATTCTCCTATCTTTTATGGAATTGCATTTTACCTTTTTTATAAAATAAAAACTCTAATTGTTCCACGTGTTTCTCAATACTTGATATTATCATTTTTAAAAATTGTAGGCATTGAATGGTTGTGTATTGGTAACTCGCTGTGATTTTAATTTACATTTTCTTTTGAAATCTGATGTTATATTTTCATGTGCTTGCCATCTATCTTATTTTTTTGAAAAAAAATTATATTGAAATCTTTTTGCCCATTTTAAAAATTGAATTATGTGTTTGAATATTGAGTTTTGAGGGCTCTTTTTCATTTTTCACACAAAAAAGTTATTGACCACTCCTCTTTGAAGTTACAAACTCCTAATCATTGCTCCAGGATTAATTTATCTTCTTATATTGATTTGGAAAGCTTTATTTCTAGTTATGTGATCATTTTGGAATAATTTTCTGTCTTTTGTTTTTTAGCATTTTGAGTCAAAATGTTTAGTTCACGTATTTTTCTTCTAAGTTAAATGACTTCATTAAGTCTATTTTTTTCTAAATTTGAAAACATTTAATAAATTTGTGTGCAGATTGTTATAATTTAGATGTGCAGTGACTCCAAAGATTCATGTGTTAAAAGACTTGGTCCTCAATGCTACATTATGGGGCTTTGGAAGAAGACTGAATCATGAGGCCTTTAGCTTCCTCAATGAATAAATCCATCATTGGATTCATCAATGAATTAATACCTCAGTGGATTTATAATTTAATGGCATTCTTGGAAGATCTTGGAAATTGCGGAGGCAAGACCAAATATAAGTAGTGCTAAACATTTACGTAAGTCATATGAATGTTTGATCTGCTTTGTTAGGCTGTTTTACCTGATCTCCAGAGCATTTCTGTGCTATGGCACTATCAGTACAGTCCCCGGGTGAGTCACTGTTGCAGAAACTGCGAATGAGAGACTTCTATATTAAATCTTCCCACACTAAAAAAACAAACGATTTAACATTGACATAAGGGCTTACAGGTATTTTTATTTGTACCAAATTATTTAAATCTAAGGATGTGCATTCAGATTTTCAGCTTAAGTAAATTTTTGCTTCGTTTCTTAATTTGTTAAAGAGAAGAGTTTTATTTTGCTTCACATAAATTTTATTTTAGAATTACTGTATAGTAGTGGAAATTCATAACTTCAGTTTATAATTCTATCAGAACTTTAAAAAAAATTTTTTTTCAACAATGAGGATTGAACTCAGGACCTTGTGCTTGCCAGGCAAGCACTTATTCTACTGAGCTATCTCCCTAGCCCCAAAACTTTTTTAACCATAAGAAATAATGATTTTATTTGAGAAAAATAAAGAATTGAAAGGAAACCATCTTAGTCCCTCAATCTTAACCATAAAAGTAAAAATCTAAAAATCCTACTTTCATTGTATTTAAGCAAGAGGGTCAAGAGCAGGCAAAGTTGAACTTGTTTTGTTGTTTACCATTGTAAGAAAATACTACATCACAAAGTGTTGGCAATGTCTGGAAGGACAAAGGTGAGGAGGTAAGGGAAGAATTATTACAGATGGGAAGTTTGGTTTAAACTTGCTCTTTCAAGGTGGGAACTTGATTAGGACTATGTATGAAGCATAATAGCATAGACTAGGATCAATAGAAGCAGCAAGGGAAGGATTTTGAGACAAGGCAGGGAGAGAATCCAAACCATATGTCTCACTACTTCCCATTAATGAGTTGGTGAGTCTTTAGGGAAATTCCTGTAATGAATAATCAAATCATGTGCTTGTCAGACCAGTCCTAGAAGAGAAAAAAATAAATGTGAATGAGATTGCATAACAGTAAAATCATGTGAAGGTGGGCTGTCTTCTTACGTCCTCACTTGGGGCTCAGATACTGGCAGAGAAAGGGGAGAGAAATAACATAGAGGAAGTGAAAGAGTTTTCCTGTCTTATAAAGACACTAGTCCCATCCTAAGCTCCACCTTCATGAACTATTACTTCCCAAACACCATTGCATGGGTGATTATGGCTTCAACTTATAAATTTTAGGGAACACAACTATTTAGCCCTTAGCAGGTGGCTTTAAATTATTTTTTATTTGGCTTCTAGCCAGACCCTAAAACAGCTAACACAATGCATGTAAGATGAATAGGTCTCTCTTGGGAAAATATATATATCAGTTTCCCACCACCATATAATAAGATCCAAATTTCCCTTGTATTAAAATTTATGTCAAGGCTTCTGCTTGTAGGCTGTTTTTTTTTTTTTTATTGTTTTGAAGTTTCCAAAGGGATGTGATAAAGTACCAGAGCCTAAGTCATATATTCTGTGCATATTTACTGAATGAAAAAAAATGTATATGCACAATTTAACTTACAGAAAAGAAAAGGAGGAGGAGAAAACAGATGAATACGATGAGAAAATAAATATTTCAATGTCTTTTTTCCATGATGTTTATAGAAATTTCTTGTTCTCAGAATTTTTAGGGCAAGATAGGACCTTTTCCTTTGTGTGGCTTGAAACAACTTTCCTGCCAACCACCATCTAACCTCTGTCACGAGAAAGCTATGTGCTGGCAAACTGGCCTCAATAGTTCAAGGTTAGAGAACCCCAGCCAACGCCCGAGGGTGGGACAGAACCTAGGCGCCAAGCAGTATCCTCAGGCTGCTAATTTGCTGGACACACAGAGCCCTGTTCTGTAACGTCCCCCTGGGTTGTGGGTGAGTGGAACCCATTAACATTTAAAAATATTTGCAGAAATCAAAGATGGAGAGGGGGGAGCATTTCTGGAGGGCCAGTACTCAGTGCACTTTTATGCATGCCAAACTTTGCTGGCATAGCTTAGGACTTGATAGAGAACATCTGGGTGACTGCTGCAGCAGCATATAGATGTGGCTAAGGGCAGGGAACAAAGGGGGCTTGTGAGGGAATGTTGCAGTGGGGGAAATGCTCTGTGTAAAAAGAGGCCTTATTTAATGCCTATCCCATGCCCAGCTGGGGGAGGGGAGTAAGGCTAGGGAAGGGAGGGGTTTTTTTGCCTTCATGTTGCCTGGGTAATGAATGCTGGAGACTGAGTGGCAGCATACAACTGGCCCATTTGACTTCCGAGATCCTTTCTTCCACCGTTAGACAAGTGTGTTAAAGTCCAAGACATAGCTGAAACAACCTCCATGGATGGCATCCTAATGCTGCCTCTTCTCTGGGAGTTTCTTTGTCTGGATGCAGGAGAAGTGGATATACTTCACAAAGGAGGAAGAGTTCTGCTTTCAGTTGAGACAATGTTCTCATTGGTTCTTTATCACCAGTCCTATTCATGTAGATACAAGATAACATAAATTAAGTATCGAGAATAGGTGGGCTGGGGAGATAGCTCAGTGGCATAAGCACCTGCCTGACAAGCGAAAGGTTCTGAGTTACATCTGCAGCACAAATGAAAAACAAACAAACAACATTTCAAGGTATATTTCAAACACAAAAGTGCACTTATTAACTGAAGGTTAGGTCAGATTGTTGAAAAGTCCTCCATTTTAATGTAGATTTTCATATTGGACTCTGATCTATGCAATCCTCAGTTTACCCAGGGTGAATGTTTTAGCATTTAGTAAATCACAGCAATGCTGATGTAGGATAGGAAGCACTATCTTAGAGTAGTTCACAAGACTGAATAAACTGCTATGTCCTTTACACAGATAGTGCTTGTGAACGTAAGGTAGTTTATGTGCTGCAATAAATGTGACTTAGATGGCTCATTTACCGTGTTCTCCTCCACTTTCCTTGGCTTCCAGCTCACTGCTCTTCTGATTTCCTAAAATACTCCTAAAATACAAAAGAAAAAAAAAAAGACCCAGACATAAACACTTGAAACTACTACAGGATTGTTCTGAGAATGGGGCTAGAGACTCACCTCATTCATTCAACTAACATTTATCAAGTAGCTACTGTTCCAAGGGCCCTAGGGACATCATACTCAACAAGATAGTACCTGATTTCCAGAACTGGTACACCCAAATGATAAATTTCTTATTTCACATACCAGGTTCTGGCTTGTATGAAAGCAGGTAGGCAAACCTTGCTTCATTCAATTGTCTTTGTTCCCCTGATTTCTTCTATCTTGAGTTGAGTCTTGCTAATCAGATTGTTCACATTGGGTTTAAACTGATGTTCCTGAGATTGCCTGTTCTATCCCTAATATGGTGGTAAAATGCAAGGGTCATTATGAGGCTTCAAGCTTTAGGTGCTCTGGTATTCATGGTTACATTCATGTCTGTTAGTGTGGGTGTGTATTCTGAAATGCACCAATTAGTGTTACATGTCTGGTTTTGGAAAAAAATTAAATTTTTGTTCTAAATTTGTTTAGAATGTGACTTTAATTTTATGTTAAGAATTACATTTTGCTAGCGGAGTGTGGTAGTGTGTGCTTATAATTCCAGCACTCCACAGACTGAGGTGAGAGAGTTGTTAAGAATTTGAGGCCAGCCTGGGGCTACATAGTGAATTTAAGGATAGACAACTACATAGTGAGATCATGGCTCAAAAAATTACATTTGATTTGCGGTGCTATTGCATTCTTAATTGCTATTAAACATTTTAAGACCTTCCTTTACTATTAATTTGTTCTGAGACAGTCTTCTTTTATCCCCAAGTAATGAATCAGATATACCTGAATGCCAAGTTTATGATGTTACTTCAAGAGCATCTAGAACAAAAACCATTGGTGTTTAGCTCAGATCTTATCAGATATTCCCTATATATATTATAATTAATTGTTAGCCTCATCTCGACCAATATTTAGTTGATTGGGAGCTTATGGCCTACTTCTTTTTGGAAAAAAATGTACATTAATTTTACATTTTGCCATGTTAGAACAACTATATGTATGTTAATAAGAAATGATATCATGGATGACTAGCCCTGTTTCATATATATATGAAATAGATACATTCTTAACTTATGCCATATTTTATGAGTTCACTGTCCCCTAAACAAATATCATTCCTATATATCTGAGTATTTTGAACATAGTTGGTACTTAAATACAACTTATATTCCTAAAATAAAACATCTTCAGAAATTAGTAAATACATATTAGTGTTAGTCATGTGAATAGATACAGAAATTGACTCAAAATTCCGAAAAATGTCTCAAACTTATCCAACCTATTTTGAGAGCAAACCGATATACATATGTTTATTTTTCTCATCCCAAAGTTTTGGGTCCCTATTATATTATGTGGATACTAAAATGCCAGAAATGATTCATTATATTCCAAAGAAAATCTAGAAATTGCTATCAACTCCAAAAGTGTTTCTCTGAAATTATTATCATGAAGAAAATAATCCAATGTAAACTAAAGCCTTTGAAGCTTCTATTCCTCTTACATTTTCTTCATCAAGTTCACTGTAAGTCCTTTTAAATTAATCCTCCATTCACGAGTAGTTTTAGTAGAGGTTCCATATCATAATTCCTTCCTTAATCTCCATCCCATCACAAGCACTTTCTAGATAGAATCCCTTTCTTTATCTAAAAAAATATCAAAACATAGGAACCTGTCTTCATTTGCAGGTCAATTGAAATGTCAGAAGCACCTAATCTAACAAATGCAATGACTTACTCAAGTAACATACAGGATTTTTCAAGAGCCTCTGAACTTCATGTCAGGGACCTCCTGTCAAGGAAACATCTCAGGAGCTATTGTTTGGTCCTGTGCTGTTCTTGGTATAAAACATCTGTTTACAGAAAACCTTGGAGTGACCCAGCTAAACATGAAGCCTGCCTGTAGATGATCCTAAAGCTTTTTGTTTTTCATAACTGACTTTATTGCCTCCTTTCAGCCCATTTTAGGATTAATCCAGATATTTCTCATTCAGTATGTCATCTGCAAAACATCTCTGCTGTTTCTGTCTGTCAGTCTCATCTTTGGCACATATGGTAAGGCTCTAGCAATACAGTAACCGCTGTCTTTATGTATCTTTTCTGTAAGGAGATATAGCAGGTTTACTGAGTTCTGTAGTAATCTCTTACTGAACTCTATAGACAACCCCCAGTGTTAAATAAGATATGGACCTATTTATTTGCTACCCACTTGGTCTTGAACTCATACTTATTTGCACTGCTTTATGGACCAGATCCTTAAATTAGGAAAATCCAAAGTCTTTGTCACAACTTGCTCAACAACCACCCATAGCCTAACACTGATAGGATTAAGTTGTCTCTAGTATCTTTATCTCATTATAATTTAAAAGTATTGCCATTCTGTTGATGTAAGTGTATTCGCTGATAATTTTTGAAAATATTATTTTATACTTGTAACCATGACTTGTGATAAAAACAAAGTTTCCTAAAGCACTTGGAGATTTGGTAGTAGATAAGATATTGAGACTTGATTTGCTGGGTGGTGCAACTCATCTTGAACTGGTCATTACTACTCAAAGAAAAATAATTTTAGGGGGTAAGATATTATTCCATTAAAAAGTAGTATTAGTGAGTAACTACTATAAAAAAATGAGTTTGGTAGCTGGTTATAGTGTTTCATGCCTATTATCCTAACACTCAAGAGGCTGAGGCAGCAGGATCACTGCAAGTTCAAGGCAAGCATGGGCTAGATAGTGACTTTAACCCACACTGTTAGAGCCCGTTTCAAAAAACAAACAAACAAAAAATGAAGTTCAACCAGGTATAATGAGAAATGTGTGTAATTCTAGCTACTCTTTAGGCCGAGGTAAGACAATTACAAATTTGAGTTCACCTTAGGGAGCTCAAAGAAATCTTGTCTCAAATAAGAACAAGAAAATGTCCTAAGGATGTAGCTCAGTGGTACAGTACTCAACTAGTATACATGAAATACTGGGTTCAATCCCTAAGACCTCTGAAAATATAAGCAAATATCCAATTAATGCAAGAAGTTCGAGTATAATGGAATATATATGAGTTTTATAGCAAAAATCAGCCAAACTCGATATGAACAAAAAATGCTTTGCTCTTACACAAAAGTTGGACATATCAATATAAGAGTCAAGTGAGAAAGAGTAACATGTTAAATTTATGTAAAGCTGGAAGTTGTAAGTGTGATGTTTAGTTTTCAGTTTTCCTTTTTTGAAATCATTAGTTGATTAGCAGTTCTTCAAAGTAGTATGTTCTTACTCAGGGATCTTCTCATCTGACTCAAAGTGATTTCTTCTAAGAGAAGTGATAATGAAAATCTCTGACAGAATTACCTCAATGAAATCTCTGGCAGAACTTGGCAGAACCACTCAAGATAGTATTCCAGTATCTATAATCTGAATTTTTAGTTCCATTTACCAAGGAGAAATTAAAGGTGTCAGTACATCTCCTTCCTGAACACGACTCATAGGGAGAGTATGTTGTCCCTGGGAAGTTTAAATAGTTCTACAGCTTGTGAGTTTCCCAGTGATTTTTCTTACCTTTTCATGACTTCTTTCCACCACTGAAAAAATCTCATATTTCCCTGGAAATAATTTTATGACCTGCATGAAGAAAAAGACAATATTATGGGAGAGAAGGGGAAGCAACATTGCTCCATTTGTTTTCAGTTTTCTGAGTTCCTTCTCCAACTAAAAAGATTATATCAGATATTTTTAGTTGCTTTTGGAAAATCTTTTTATTCTAAAAATATAATATTGAGAAAAATTTGTCGAGCAATATGCATCCCACTCTTAGGTTCTGTTCCCTCCTCTAAGTATTCAGCCTAGATAATGAAACAGTGGAAATAGCATTGTTTCTCAACTGTTCAAAATAAACTAAAATTCTGGAGCACAGAATATATTTTAGCCCCTTTGGATATAAAAAGATGTATTTGGTATATGTATATATCAAACTATAATTTCTTAATTGTTGAACCAGCAGTCTGGAGGGATTATGGGCAACCACTAATTTCAGGGGACAATGAAAGTCTCTTATAGATCTCTCTAATGTACCCAAGTACAACAAGAAGAAATTCTGGGACGTTATCCTGAAGCTACTAGTGATCTCTAGTTAGTATTATGCTGAATGATAGTGAGCTTTCAACAATTTTTTTGGTCTACTTAGTTGATAAACCTCTTCATTGATGGATGATAACACAACTTGATGCTCTTCACCCATAAAGTTCTTAAAATCACTTTGAGTTACTACTGAAATCTACACTTAAACAGCTAGTCTTACATTTGGTTTATATAGCTACATGTAATTTAGAAAAACAGATGCTGTATGTGGGTTTCTGGGCTTGTCATGCCCTCTTCCTTGTAATGATAGCATGGTGCTCCTCTCTGTTTAGTTCACCTTTTGTAAAGCCTTTTAGTCTCATCTCTACCTCTTGAGTCACTATCTTTTCAGCTCTCATTGTGTCCCAGCTTGGCTTAAGCACTCCTACTTATGTGCCTCTTAATCTTTATAGTGGTGTTTCCCACTGAGGTAGTTGATGTTATCCACACTTTACAGATGCAGGAACTGAAATTCACCATCATTGAAATCTTGTCCAAGATCACTCAACTGTTAATGATGAAGCAAGACTTCTAGCCCAGACATGGCTGATTCTAAAGCCTATGATCTACAATGTAATTCCAGATACATTCTGTGGATCCTCAGTGAACTACTACTTCTGGAGATAATCAATTCACCTGATCTTTCTTGGCTGGGCTCTTGATAAAGAAATATACTACTTGGGCAATGTGCTGGCCACATGTTGGTACTCCTATTTTTTGATCCCCTCTTACCACTGTGAAATAGAGATTATTGCTAAGCAAATCTCTGTTGAAGTTTGTTCAGGCCATTGTATGCTTTTTGCTTATAGAGATAATTTTTCTCTTCAAATGCCTTTG